CCTCAATCCTCTCCCTTCGCACAGGCGGAAACCTTAATTTACTGATATGCATGTCATAACCGCTGTAATGATTCCATACCAAGCCTTGCTGCCGTGCCTTAATTCTGATTCTGATGTTTACAGTGTAAGGGAAATCGCAACCGGAGCTGTCGAAGCGGACTCGTGTATCCCTCGCCGATGGGCGCACCAGACGAATCGGTGACTCGATTCCCGTAGACAAGTGGAATGAACTACGTGCATGGACTGTTGGGATATGGTCACGATGTGCTCGAAACGCCTCCGTGTCTCGGTCACACATATGTAGGCCGAACGCTTTCGATCAGCTGCGGGGTCTTTGGGTGCGTCTAGTCTCAGGTAGACCAAAGCCAAGCACATGTCTTGTCCTACGTCTCCCGGGCCCAATACAGCTATACCTGGTTAAGGGCGTTCAGCTTTGTGAGAACGCAATAAATCGAGTTGATATTCCCTTTTTACCTTGGTGCCTAAATTAGTACAGACCGGAATGGTCGATTAGAAAGTAAGAAAGACAGACACCGTGAGGAGACGAACAATAGCGTTGCTTAACCTTGTTATGATTTTCAATAAAAACGGGGGTGCGAGCAAGACACGTTAGTGCGGTTTAAAACACAGTCCTGCTGAGAAATCGTATTGACGCCCAATCGCTATCTCAATCAAAGCGTGAAAACAAAATGAGCACAATGGTAGCTTAACGCAGTGTCTCACCGACTAACACACCGCGGTTTTCAGTTGTCATGCCGAAGTACGGTACGATTGCACCATCGTTTCACATTATCCTGTCCCTCTCACCCGTGACCTTAAACAAGTAAATTCCCTCTGACCCTTACTGTGATCTGATTCGATTATATTCCGCGATCTCCGGCACTCGGAATCCCTCACCCCCAACATGAGACTGTCCGATTTGTACTTTTTGTACTTTTTACTCTTGTTGTCACGGCCAGTCCATCCATCCGTTTACTGATGGCACTCATGCTGTTCAGTCGAAGTTCACTGGGACTGCCTAACACTCGGGGCTGTAAACAAGGTGCGGTTTCTCGCCCGGGTTAGCTGGGAAAGCACCAGGTGATGATAACTCTCCTCGAATCGGAATTTAACTGCAAATCGATTGGAGGGGGACGATCAAAGGAATGGCCTCGAAGATCACCTGATCTGTCCCTCTTGGATTTCTTTTTTGTGAGGATATCCGAAGTGAACGGTTTATTTCCCGAAAACCGAGAACGATCGAGGAGCTTAAACAGGAAGTTGTGGCGCAGTGCGAAAGTATCCCAACTGCTACCATCCTGAAGCTGGAATAAAACTATATTCAACGTATATTATTGCCATACAAGCAGCAGAACGGAGAACATATTGAACAACTATTATAAAATAAGTATGCATTTTTCCATACTATTTGTTCGTTCTTTTTTCCGGAATTCTATCGCCCACGTAGTTAACGAGATCTTTCAACGAGCAAACAGCCAGTTGGGAAAATACTAAGAAGGGTTTTACGTAGGCCTAAATTAGGGGAGATTGTTGTCCGTTATTAAGACAAGTGCACAGTTTTATTATGATTATCTGTTTACCGAACCCGCTTTGGAAAATAATGCGTGTATCTTAGACGAGTCAAGCGTTGGCTCAGTGTCATCATCGCTTGAGCATTTTCCATTCCGAATTTCCCACCTGGCGCACCGCTCCACATCTGATTCTCTTGTCATGATTCCTTACCAGCACTTAGGCAGGATCGGATTTGGAACCTATCCTCCTCCTGTGCCGGCTCGAAAATCACACGACCGATCGGGTTCATTTATCGACCAGTCAGATAGTTCAGCCGCAACAGGGTCACCCAAGCGAGAAACCACACCTTGTTTACAGCCCCGAGTGTTAGGCAGTCCCAGTGAACTTCGACTGAACAGCATGAGTGCCATCAGTAAACGGATGGATGGACTGGCCGTGACAACAAGAGTAAAAAGTACAAAAAGTACAAATCGGACAGTCTCATGTTGGGGGTGAGGGATTCCGAGTGCCGGAGATCGCGGAATATAATCGAATCAGATCACAGTAAGGGTCAGAGGGAATTTACTTGTTTAAGGTCACGGGTGAGAGGGACAGGATAATGTGAAACGATGGAGCATTCGCACTGTACATAAATCTTGGTTTAATTTGTAGTTTTCGTTTAGTTATACGAAAAATTATATGAATGAAGTTTTGGTGGCATTCTCAGTTAACGAATTTCACGATGAAGATAAAGCAAGTGTAGGGGATGATAGCAGTGCAATGAAAAACGAGTAAGGACATTGAAATAGGTAAATTCTGCACTGGTACTTTGGAAATGAGCTGACAAGAAAATTGTGAATATGTGAGAGATACTAAGGATGGTTCACCTGGAATATCTTGTGTTTTCATAATATAGTCAAGCACAGAGTAGGGAGAAGCGCAAACCATGCTCATAGTTTCGTGCAAGGACTCAGTGTAGTTTTGAATTCCTTGAGTGTATTTTACTTCTGGTGCGGAGTCATTTTAGAGTGTAACAGATCTAGAACCATGAATCGATCGCCAAGTCGTTCTTTTATTGCAAAACCAAACACAGACCTCCTATCACTCCACCAATTGATAGGAAGGATTAGACTAGATGCTATCTACTGAATGTTGGTCATTCACTTGTTGAATCTCAACACACCCACACGTATCACAAGTGATCATCCACTTTTGTTTTGTCCTTCAGGATCCGCAAAAGTTTGTGGACACGGCGTATACAGATCTCAACGTGGAAAAGATGACCACTTTGGAGAAATTAGATGCAAACCTGACCAAGGACAAACCTAAATCTTTTGAAGACTGTCTAGCATGGGCCAGATTACTTTGGCAGGTGAGTTGAGCCTTCTGATAACCTTTTCTTCCATCAGATTTTCATACACTTTGTTCCCTCGGAACTGTACACTCGAGGTTTTAAAGTCCAGCGGCTCATTTTGTTTCTGAGTTATATTTAACTTCTTCACGAAATGAAAGTACTTTAATCCAACCGCAAAACAGAATTATATGGGTCCCCCAGAGGATGATGAAAACAATCCGGGAGCAATTAGTAAGCACCCGTTTCCTTGCCTGCTTCCACTCAGTATCTTGTCAAGAATCACTGTACCAGACTGACAAGAATCTCCGCTTCTCGGCATATTTTTTGGTATAAAGAAAGATAACCGGATGAAATTTCGTTTTTCGGCTTTTCATTTAGTTGCCATCTGGTTTCTCAAAAATGATGATGATCGTGCATTTGGAAGCGAAGACAATCTAAAAACTTAGGAGGATGCATTAATTTATCTCTGGATAAATGAGTTTGGAATGAATTCTCTGAGAGTACTTTGTGTGTGTTTCCTGATTTATTATCTGTATTTTGTGACTGAGACTTACGCGACGGGAATGTGGTGCTTTTTAAAAAGAGCAAATTATTTCTATCCGACCGCAGTGCAGGATTTGATTCGATTCCTTGATGAATTTCACCGTGTACGGAGCATGCGAACCGAAAATGGAGAAATAACGGTACAGATGTTTTTTGCGTAATGGTGTTAACTGAACATGACGGAGTTAAACGTGCAATAGAACAAATTTATCTACTACTGTCATGTAAAAAGTAGACGGTTTCGAAATGTTTCCAACCGAGTCATAACACTGGAGGCTTGTGCTGAGATATTTGGGCTATGGTGTTCGCAACAGACTTGCAAGGATGAATTGTGCAGCTGTGTGTATGGGCAAAATAGAACAAGGTTTGATCACCTGTTCAGTGGTCAAATGAATAGTAGTGGATTCGCGTTCTGTCTGTGAGGTACCGCTTTTGGTCCCCAGTTGAGTTGAAGGATTCGCACGAATGATGTGACCCAGGAGAGTCGAAATAGCTCTATAGTACTTCCTAGCTTCACAGTTCACTCCTTTTTTTGACGCAGCGAAATTCGCTATGAAATCAAGATTATCCAAGTATTAGTTCAGTCGATTGGTCTCTTTTCCCCCATTAGGATGCCAATATATCCGTAAAAGAATATTGTTATCAGGACCAATCCTAAAATCATTTGGAGGGTTCTCATTGCATCAAGAGAAACTGTGGATAAGAAAAAAGATCTCAGCAGCAACCATTATATTTGTTTGTATAACCACTAACTTTAGCTGACTTGTAGCAATCATGAGAAATGGCTAGTACTCGATAAAACTCGTAGATCAGCAATCGTTAGTTCAGTTGCACTCTCAACCAGATATCGAACTTCCGCCACGCCGAGAGAAGGTTATGTAGATAGTGGTTAAACTATTATGAGAATTCGAGCAGATTAATTCCTATGTTCTCCCAGTTTATGAGTGAACTCTGACAAATTACGCTGATTCAAAATCGGGTTCATTATTGATCGTCGTGAAACTGCAATACGTAGCTGCTTGACTGGAGTTGTATCTTGAAGATGTGGATAATCACACAATCTGTCGAATTTCTCACACAGGCACGAAAGAACAAATTCCTCAACTGGAGTTCAGTTTCATCCTATCCGCTGTTGCTTTTTTGTTCTTTTCTACTTATCACAATTTACGCTCAACCTCAACTCATGAGATATTCCCTGAATCTCAGTCAGTTAGCGCATGTTTATTCCTGATGAAAAAAATTCAAATTTGTATTCTTCTCATGAACTTCTTTCTTTTATTATAAATATACTCCCCAAATGCTATGCATGACTTTTCGGTTTGAAAATTGCACATTTTCAATTAGATAATAGTCGGTGTATTAGTCACACGACTGGATGAACCGGAATAAGTCACGAAATTTCGCGCATCAGACACTCGAGGTCAAATACGTGGCAAAAGAAAGTCATGTCCTTGGTTGCTGGTCGGATCGTTGCACGTAAATAGTGGTTCGATCTATAGATATCGATTACAACATGTGTTTCAGTAGGTATACATGAACGGATAGGTTCACGGGTTTTCGACCGAATGACCCCTTTGAAAACATGATTTGACTCGAGGTATGAACATCCAATCAGACAGTTTAACTTCAGTTTTCTAACCTAACCACTCTTGGGGTATTTTTGCCTGAGCTTAACTGCACTGATGAATTTTGCATTTAAATCAAAGTTAATTGTGGGTAGCCTCCATCTTAACGCACAACCCACAGTTGGACAGCTATATCTCACCTGGCGGACGCATCACAGATGAAGTGTCGGCGCGCAAACAAAAGGCTCGGTTCCCAACTTGAGACATCTGTGGCGCCGTCGCGACATTCGGTTGTCTGGAAAGGATCGAGTATATGCTGCAGCAGTTCGTTCGGCCAGTCCTGCTCTACGGCGCAGAGACTTTGCCATTACGGGAACAGGATAAAAATAAATTGTCGGTGTTCGAACACCGCCGTCTACGTAGCATTGCACGAGTCTGGTGGGGGAACCGGACGAGCAATGCTGAGGTTACGCGTAGAGTTTTAGGTAACCGCGGTAGTCCACTGGAACAGGTAGTCGACCTCCAGAGATTACTTTGGTTGAGACATGTGCTACGCATGTCACCAGATAGGTTGCCACGGCGAGCGATGCTTGCCGAGACAGGTAGTGGTTGGAAAAAAAACGAAGGGCGGTCAAGCTAAGACCTGGCATGAAAACCCTGACCAGGAGACTGGCTCATATAGGTTCCATTAGGCTCCCTGGCTGGGGACTCCGAGATCATGGTCACCGATGGTTAAGGACACTGAGCGATATGGCTGGGTGTCGCAAACAGTGACGCTCATACATCTACTCATTATTCTTGTAACTTCAGTCTATGAAAATGTGCTATCTTCCGCTTGAATCTGCTCTCAACATTCTAATCAGCAGTCTGCTGTTTTATCCAAATGGGCGGTCAAAGACAGCAACCAAAACCGGCGCACGAAAGTGCATGGTTAATGGTTGCAAAAACTGAACTGAACTGAACAATCCACAGTTTATCCGATACAGTCGTTGTCGGTTCTAAAGAACTGACTGAATTACTATCACGGAAGACCGCACCTGAACAAACATTAATTGGCAATTCTGATCAGCCCCGGTGTGAACTGGTTGGCGCAGTTTTAACACCTGCACACCTTTCATGCCGTGGGTATGGAGCTCAAAACCCGGACGGGTGGAAAGTGAATGTGTACGATTGATGAGTTTTGATAAGAGCCAGACACAAGCTCAGTGCTCCCTGAATGTGCGGTTGACTGGATGAACTGAGAATTGTTGGTGACTGATAGTCAGTTCAAGAGCGAAATCATTAATCTAAAATATAATTCATAACCAAATTTGACATAATCATCAAAACTAGTACCTTTTTTATTACAAGCAACGTGTTCAACACAGAACGTGTAAAGCATTTGACTTTGACATTGATGAACATGAATAGTGGCGCTTAATGTATTGACGTGAGATAACCACAGGAGTCAATCATGGCAACCCGGGCGTAAGAAATGGCCTAGAATGTTCGGGTTTTTGCTCTCCCATCGTAAGTAGATATTCAATTCCGAGAATTTCCCACTGATATAAGGTTGCTCTTATACGCGTTTAACGAAATATATGTTGAAGGCGTAGTGATAACTCTATGAACCTGAGCATATTTTTTGAACGTTGAGTGACTTAAAGGCATTGAAATCAAGTGAAACCGCTTGGATGAGCATCACTTGAAAGAGTAATGTATATACATATATATATATATCACCATGAAACATCTTACCTAAGGATTAAAGCTGATTGAAATTCGGTTCTCATAACTCGGGTGAACGGAATTCACTCTCTCCTGTTCGCCCAGTTCAGCGATTGCTTGCAAACAGTTCATCGGCAGCTTAGCGAACATTTGAAGATGCGTAATTGAAGCCATTGATGAATGATCAGAACATCTTCTTTATGCTTGAAAAAAACGAACATAAACTTGTTGTTGAGTTGCAATAAAATCTGCACACACTTTCTTGCGAATTACAATCAATTACAATTACAATCAACGCCATCAATATAGGGAACAGTCAACTCTGATCCCCAGTGACATTGAATTGATTGAGTCATAGCACAAAGTCTACTCATAACAAAAACGGAGGTCACTTTCCATACTACTCGAGGATAGATCACTGCTACCTACCTTAAATAAAAAAGTCGTCAATGCTGTAGAATACTTAGGTTCTTTCATTTACTGTTTCAAATAGCCATGCACAGCTCTAAAGCCAGCCCGTTTATTCATACGTCTGCTTTCAGTACACAAAGCCCGAAATCTTTGGCTGCAATATAGTGTTGTATTGTTGTAAAACGTCCAAAAAGGATAACCACCAACGTGAGCACAGGACTGCATTCCAAGACCTGTGTAAAGAAACTGCACTCTTTGCTGTTACATCATCACCTCAGAAAACATCGATTCAAGTTAGACCTCACAAATACCGACTGGAATGTCAACTTCAGTCAATTGCATCACCAGTGCGCGAATCACTTGTGACTATTTACTATTTCAGGTCATTTTAGCACCAACAAATGACTCTTTCAATTTAAGACTAGAAAACATTTTGGTATGAACTCCAATTCAGAACAACCATGCCTCAACGTGAAACACGAGACCAGTTGACCGACGCATGTGTGTGAAAGAGAGAGAGTTCTCATAATGAATTTAAAAGTTATTCAGTTTGGTTCAATCTTAATGGCGGAAAAGTAAAGCAGAATGCGCTTTTTTGGAGTAGCACGCTTGGATTAACCCATTTAATTGTTAAGAGGCATCAGGCACTCTTGGGTTTGGGTTTCACTCCTTGGAAGATCGTTAATTCCCCACAATTTCGTGCATTTATATGTGATGGAAATGTTTGTCATAACCAACAGAGAGCACTGGACAACTGTTTCGTCCTGTATGAGATTGAAACCCGCACCCAGGAGTGCCTGGTGCCTCTTAACAATCGAATGGGCTAATCTAAGTGTGCTGCTCTAAAATTGATTGCGCCGTTCGCACAAGATGACGACCATCGACCGTGTATCTCAGGGGTAAGGGTTTGAAATCCCAACCCGAATGTTTGCGGTTTGAGTCCTGACGAGTCTCAAACAGGAGGAAACCATTGTCCGGTGCTCTTTGTCGTTTATCACAAACACTTTCATCACATACAGAATGCTCGTCAACTGGTAAGTGCTCGTTTCAACCGAATTCGTTTCAGTCAAAGTCAGTTTCATTATGGGACTTGCTCACAAGCTCGTGCTTCTCTTGTCTCCAAAGGATATTTACACAGATGAATCGTTTCACAGCAAAAAATCACACACACTTCCAGGTATGAGATAATAGAGACTTTAGGCTTCAGTGAATTTGCGTTTGCTTTTAATGGTGTACGAATGTGAGGTGTACCAAGGTTTCATCTGGTCTCCGCTTGAAAGATTCAATAGTTGGTGCACAAACGACGTGAGATGGAAGGGTGTTCCAAGTACTGCATATTCTGACTGCAAAAGATTAGCGCTGGCATTCCAGTCGACACTTTGGAATCATTAACTTGTGTCCCCTAAGGTGTACATTGTTCGATAACATGAGCAGCGGTCGACACGGATGGTTTGGGTTCTGAAGTATTTGATGCGTCAAAATCATGTCTCCGCGAATTCGGCGGTACTGAGCAGAATATAATCCCAAAGATCGTAATCTCTCCTCATAGGTGAGGCAATACAATCTTGGTGGTCATCCATTTTGGGTGCTCAAGCATCTTGCGATCACGTTGTAACCATGGACTCCAAGCTTGGATGGCGTTCTCTGTGTACACTGATACCAAACGCGGAAACAGTGCTCACTCAAACCGACCAAAGACTCGCCTAAGTAATCCTACATGCTTCACTGCATCGGACGAAGCCTTGGCGCAGTTGATCGAGCAGCTTAAATCCTCCTGAACAGCAATACCTAAGTCCTTTTCACTTGAATTATGCGGTAGCTGCTGATTTCCGAGGAAATACGAGAATCTTCTCGTGTGCGAATGACTTTTTGCATATTCCACAGAAATCAACCCTGATCCTTCCAACCAGTTCTAATTTCTGTCTACTTGTTTTACCGTGCCAGATTTTGAACCAGAGCAAAGAGTTGACTGTACAGTTCCCGGCGGCCTCCACATCGATGCATTCCACGTGCACTGCGCGATGAAAACTGGAGTATCGTTCAAATGATTATCGATCTCATTAATCGATGATACAGAGATCCACAGTTGTTTAAAGTTTGATGAGAAGTATTCCCTTTTCGGACCAGCTACCAATATCTTATACACTGCTCGATTCATCATTTATTGTATTCTCTTCATCCAGAAGGATTGTAATGTTTTAGTCGTGTATCAGAATTGATACCAATTGGTTCTTGTTTATCGCGTGCTATTAATTGCTATATTTTTTCATTCAGTGTTACATGATTCAATACATGTTTTCCCCGGACAATTTTCTACGTTCCTAGCATCTAGTCATGACCATTTTGGATTTATAGATCATGGGAGTTTTTGCTCCAAGGTCAAGAATTGCTCTATCCTACCCAGTGTGTTGAACCGCAGCAGTTGATGTGCTAAACTAATGCACTGAGTACCAAACAGCTATAGAAGCAGAGAGGGAGAGAAATAACCAACTTCATACTATTTTCGATTCCCGCTAGTGGGATCAGATCAAGTGAGAGGGAGGTCAGTAGGTCACGGTAGAGGATTTGTGGGCTGAAATCTGGGTCTGAAGCAGGGTAAGGGGGCTTGACACACATTTGTTTAAATCAGCATAAAGCTTCTTCGAATGCATTCTGCGTAAGGTGAGAAAACACAAAGTAGCGAACAAGCTCGTGTGCGGTGATTCTTTTACAGGCTAATACATCACAACTTATATCAAACATTTCGGCGGGGGGGGGGAGAGCAAGACAAGTTGGAAACAGATAATTACCATTCCAGTTACATGACCGGATGCGTAATTGTAGATGTTACAAGGCTATAGATGCATGAGCAATGATGCATGAGCTTCCTAAGAAAATCGGCGTTACTGGACATTAGTTGAAACTCATTTACGAGGAGACCGGAAAAGAATATCGGAGGATCATAAAGCGAGCAGGAGTAAATATAAACCGGTACTAATGGCTTAACTAGAGGAATAGGTAAGGAAGATGATGTGACTCAAAGAAAGTTTGTTTTAAATTTAGCTAAACCAAACTTTTTGTTCAGTTTGTTCAGACAAGAACTCTATTAAAATTAGTATTGATGTTCTTCACATCAGAAAAGGTATCCAGAACGTTGTTGCACTGAGCGAAATTGAATAAGATAAAACGAATTCCGCATGTTTAGACCCATTTGATTCAAAGTTTGAAAGTTATAAACTGCGGTATTACTCTGCAAGCTGGAAGCACATGCAGTCTGATCGTTTATAGGATATTTTTAAATTTCCCTATTCAGCCATCTCATCCAATATCGGCCTCATGTTCTTCATCTCCACGCACCTTTTAGGATCAAGCCGCTGATTTTTGCTAACGGTTTCACCTACCGCCCTAAATGTCGCGGTCCCTTGGTGAAATACACTGTGCTTTGTGTTGCCGCAATGCTTTGTACTGTACTCAGCAGCTACAGGGTCAAACATACAGATGCTTGTAAAAATCGCATACAATACAACCGGAGAGCGACCAAAACATGCAAAGTCAAAGTCAAAGTTTTATTATGGGAATAGCTTACAAGCTGGTGCTTCTCTTGTCCCATAGGATGTTTACATAGATGAATCGTTACACATCAAAAAAGGAGTCACATAGGGATCCGGGTAGGAGATAGAGAATGTAGGCTACAGTGAATCCCGTTTGCCTTTAGTGTACGAATGTGAGGTGTGCCAAGATTTTGTCGAGTCTCTGCTTGAAAGATTCAATAGTGGGTGCACAAACGACATGAGATGGAAGGGCATTCCAAGATTTGCATACTCTGACAGCAAAAGACTGGCGCCGGCATTTGGCTTCATCGTGTGCAGGAAATAAACATTTTCAGTGCTAGTTAGTAACACTTCCAGCGTAGTGTATCCGCTAGCCAACGAACATCCCACCAATCAGCCTCAACCGAAAATAATGCTATCTATCACGCTGGTTCGAATTAAAAGCCTCAATTATCGAATAAATTCTACCCCGGTGATTTCAGAAACAAACAGCGGCTATCGTTCAACTGAGTGCTCCGGTTAATGACAATGTGATTGAGATTAGCCACCTGTGACCGCCTTCCCTCCCGCACTCCCAAATAACGCAGAGCATTCTCCGTATGACTCCAAGGATTCTGTACAGTAAACGTAGGCCCATCATAAAGTTCCGTGTCAAAATATAATCTTTCAAAACTTACAAAATTAATTTAGACGGTAAATGCTTGGATTAGTTCATTCGGTTTTTCACAGGCATCAGGCACTCTTGATTATCATGGGCGTGGGCTTCACTCCTTGGGATATCGTTAATTAGCCAATAGTTGATTGCATTTAAATGCAATGGGAATGTTTTGTGAAAACCGACAAAAAGCACTGGACAGCTGTTTCGTCCTGTCCCACACAGGACAAAACAGCTGTTCAGTGCTCTTTGTCGGTCGTCACAAACATTTTCACCGCATTATAAAATTAATTTTCATTTTTCACAGATTTTGGTTCATCTCTTACGCAGGTAAGTTTTGGCCGTCCGAGCGCTGTCAAGTTTAGGCTTTCGGCATTAATCTACATTCATATCAATTCCTACTATTGATTTTTTGTAAATCATCGCCTGAACGCCCGTCGTATTGATCTGTCGATCTCTGCGAAAACTTTCGCTACTGCGGCTACATTATTCTTCTAAACCATGAACTCGATTTCAGTTGTATTCATTGTCCGATAGATTGAGCGATTATCACAACGGGGCGTTTCCATCAACCCGGTTAAAACGAGTAATGTGTTGTCCATTAACAGTGCAACGGAAAAATGATGCTCTTTCTGAAATCGGGCCTGAATGAATCAATAGTGGCTAAAACCAGTTCATCGACTTTCATTCTTTCCTAGTCACATATAATAGTTGAGTTCGACCGGAAGTTGTCATATCACATGTGCACGATAATGGATACGGCTGTACCAGAGACCTTACCCTGGGATGAAATCCTGTTAACCGAGGAAATATTCGACCACTGAAAATGGCAATTATTTTTGTTTTGACCGCCAAATTCGTAAACAGTGTGATTTCTCCGTTATATGTACGGGAACTAGCATAGTTCATTCGAAACGATAACAGATGCATGATCGAATTTGCCTGATTCGTTCACCTGATTTTCACTTTCTCTCCGAGATCGATACGGGTTTTGCTTTCGTCTGTTATCCTGAATGTTTCGGTTAAATTAAACACAATAGAACCACTGTTATGGGAATATTCGAACAAAAATCTTCACTGTGTGTTACATTTTCAGTGTGGCCCAAAATATCCTGTGTTCAGTGATTCCGTCTGACTGCTATCGACAATCAATCACAAGAGATAAAAATTCGACAAGTTCTATTGGTAGTGAACGATTCTGAAGGATTCAGAATATAAATGCAGATTCACATGAACAACTGATAAATTGATATTGTAAAGTGCGTTCAAAGCTCAGATGACTTACATAAATAACATCATATTTCAACTATACCTTTTGAAATTGAAGTTATACGAATATCATTTCAGGTTGTTTGAGCATCATTTCGCGGTATATCGTTGACCTCATCGGATTTGTCAAACTCATGCACTTTTAAAGGCATCATGCAGCAGAGACGTCTCAAACTCCGGTTGAAGCGCCGGGGTGACGATTGTAAGACGTGCCTCGGGCACACTGCCCCAATCCCCATGAAATATCTTCATTGTTTACCTTGATAGCATGCGTACGCGGCTGTTTATCTGTGTGTTCGTCCTCCTCTCCCTGAAATGTCTTACAGTGACACCAATGGATCATGCGCGCTCAACGTTTGAGCCCTTACTTAGCTCCTTAGCATGATGCTGCAATAGAATTCATAAGCTACACCTCGAGCAGCTACACTGGGACACCAATCGGTCATGCTCGATCGATACAGACGTAATTATTGACCATATTAAAATCCAGTTTGTTTGAAACTTGCAGATTATATTCCACCTCTGTGATACCACCACAGAAGCACCTCCAAGTACTAAACAATCAATTCGACCATTTTGGCCACATAAATGGAATGAGATATGAACTGTACCGAACCAACTGCAATTGAAATAGCGTAACGAACTCTGTCGAAATATACCATAACTTTTGTCATAGTTACGGAATTTTATAACAGATTTTAAGTTAGAAAATGCGTTTTAATGAGTATGGACTTCGAATATGATAATATTTATCGCTGAGATCATGTAGCCTTATTAAAAATACTTCCAGCACACAAAGTAAGCCGGGTGAATTACGGCTAAAGTATGATTTTCACAGTTGGTCATCCGTTGTGATCATTAAGGATTTGTTCTACCATTGTATGCATCACCGCAACTGCAAGTGAACGACATATCGATAGGCACACTGAATCAGAAATCCTCAGATTTTCTTCATTAGTTTGAGATCAAGAGTATGAGCGAACTACTACAATATATTTATTCTGTAAAAAAGGTTGCAACCTCTTTGTGATATATGTGCTTGTACTTTGATGTTGCCTTATTCAAAAATGCTATTCCACCGGTCTGTATTGTGGTGAACAGCAAAACGAAAAGTCCGCTTGTATTTTTATGAACGGTTGTATTTCGGTTACCATCAAGGATTGCCAACTGAACCAAAGCAACTATAAAAAGCTCATTTTGTAATAAAACCAATCGTTGGTTCTAAAGTTACCCATGGGATGGGTTTTCGGTCCTTCCGTATATCATACCATCATATATATATCCATGTTTTCTGCGCATACACTACGTGTGGTTCACTTCTTTGTCTTCAGGCTCCTGAAAACTGACAGTCATTGAGTGACGCATAACCGCTTAGCAATATGTGGCACACTCGTGCTTTAAAGTGCATGAGCCTGGCAACTCCGTTGAGGTCAACGAAACATCTTGAAACGATACTCAGACAAATTGAAATGGTACTTGTGTAACATGAATTGCAAACGGTATAGATCACGATTATTTCAAAGTTGATTTATTCATACGATATTCTTTGTAGTTTAGTATTGTTTAATTTT